TTGTGACATCCATACAAGCTTGTAGCTCACTACTCTTCAGCCAGTGTGTTACTGTAGCAGCCGTATTATTGTGTAAAGCTAAGGTCAGCCTCAGTCATTACAACACACAGTGGAGTCTTTTTTTGTCAGTGTACAGTAAAACATTCATATAAAATAGATTAGCAGCAGATTGGCTTCACTGATCAAAGGCAACCTTCAATCAGACGGTCACAGGTTCAAAACCCACAGCAGGCGGAGTTCGGCCAGTGACAATGACATCAGCTCCTGTGAATGCTAAAAATATATAAAACTACGTCAGCATATGTAAAGAGGCGTTCATCTACAAATCCTTTACTCTCAACGCTTAAAAAAATGTATTATTTCTACATGTGGCGTTGAATGTGAATATAATTACATATTAGGTTGAGGGACTATAACAGAAAAGCGCCGAACTATATTTTTATTTACAGTGATGTTCTTTAAGAGTCAGTCAAAAATGACTCAGTATTTACTAATTATTCCAGCACATTGTAATATCACACACAAAAGAATAAATAATGTTTACACTTACAGTCAAATCTTTAGAGAAAACCAACAAACCCAGGCAATTTGTGCTAACCTAAACTAAACTCAGAGAACAGTAAGAAAAACACATTTAAAAAGAACCTAGGAAATGTATATCTATATCTGACTTGATGCAATAATAAGAACAATACTGCTGGTTGATGAAATACCATCACATTCACATTTATGTTATCCTAAGAAGATGGATAATGTCTCTTCTTTCAGTCCTGGCCTATAAAAACACTGCAACCTCACTATAGAAAAAAAAAGAACATTAAAAAACTCCTCCTTTATCTCCATTATTCCTGCTTGAACATCTGCTTAGTTGTTGTACTTTTTGAAGTTTGCCCTGTCAGTGTTTCAGTGGTCACCATGTGCTTAGTGATTCTGGTGGTCTTAGTAACAGTGGTTATAGTTCCCGCCGTGGTAGCGGACTGCTGGTGGTCGGTTGACACTGTCATCGCGGCAGAGTCCAGCCCAGACATGTGTTGGCAGAAAGATCCCGAGACGTCGGCCTCACCTCCTATCTCCCCCTTTAGCTGGGCCTTTTGTGAGGCTTCTGGGGTTATCTGGAGGAATCCTTGGTAGGAGAGAGAGAGAGTAAAGGAAGAAAGGACGGTGAAGAGAGGAAAGAAAGGAGTGACGTTGGAGACACCAGGTGAACGAGTTACAGGAAAAGAGGAAAAGAAACTTAATCTTGGGAAGCAGAGAAAAAACAGGAAACAATACATAAATGTGTTGGTCAGTGTGACAAAAAAAAAGTCAAAAGTAGTTGCAATATAACAGCAATAACGACATTAAATTTAAGCCCTTAAATCAAATTAGGGGATGTAAACTATTTCTGGTTTTATTATTGAAAGACAGAGGAGCATTTTAGGTCAAAGGATTGAAGAGAGGACTTGTTTTAAAAAGGGACTACAATGACACATATTTGGGGACTAGAAAAAGCTTTGACAAATAATTACAATAATCGTGTGATTAATGTATCTATGAGCACAACTAAGTAATAAACAAAAAGTGTTTCATCTAATTTTCTTTCTCAAGTTTTAAAACTCATGATTGAAATTCTGTTCAAATCATCCTGCATCCTTACCTGTGTGTGGTTTAAGGCTGAACTTTGGGATCTTGAATCGTGAAGTCAACTCTCTGTCTTCAGTGCTTTTGCTCTCCATCTCACTCCAGACACAGGCCTGTGTTGATAACAACTCAATGCCAGAGCCGCTTGGAGACTCAGAACTATCCCGATCCAACAGATCTGTCCTCGCATGAGATGACACCACATCAATTGAAGACCTTTCAGTGAAACCTGCAGATGCCTTTTCGCCCATGATTGCCTTTGTCTCATCTCCCACATCTGTCCTTAAAAAAACATCCAGTCCTTGGTTCCCACTTATTTCCTTGTGGTCCTCCCCAGTCTCTAGTTTGCCAGAAGGACTTGTTAATTCCAACGTTGGTAGTTTCATTTTACCACTGAAAGTTCCTTTGCTGTCTATAGAGATCTTTTTTTCAACCCTCAAACTTGATTTTTCTGTCGTGACATTAAAATGTTCATATTGGCCAGGAGATTTTTGGCCAGAAGATTGGCACCATTCCATTTCACTGCTAAAAGCAGATAATTTATCTTTAGACTTCCCAAAATTTGGTTTAATTTTATTATCGGACAATGTCAGTTGGATATTACCTGTTTCCCCCTTAGCTGTTGTCTCCATCTCTGGGAGCGTTGTGCTTGTATCTGAGTGTGAAGGACTCACTAAGACAAAAACAGCTTTTTTTACTTTTGGCATTTTTGTGCCCTCATACTGAGTTTCTGGCCCATACATTCTGTCCTCAGGAGAGGAAATAGAAGGTAATGGGATACCAAATTTTGGAATTTTGATTTTCTTTGCTTGTTCTGGGTCATTATTTTTATCCAGTGATGTACCTATGTCAAAATCAATGTCTGGAATCATGGGAATTTTAGCGACTGCACCAGGTGAAGGGAGGACGTTTGTATCTGCTGATGATTCTTGCATGTTATTTACACTAATGTCGAGTAATGTCGCCTTTGGCACTTGTCTTTCACCTTCTGGTTCTTGAAGTTTGCATTCTTGTTTGGCTTGAACATCTAACTCTTTAATGCCTGTCTGTTCTTGTGCTAAAGGACCTTTAGCAAGTTTTTTTTTGGGCATACCAATGTTAAATTTTGTCCCCTTGATTTTGGGGCCTTTAACTTTGCTGCTGGTGTTGACAATGTTAGGAGGCAGGTCAGGTAGTTCAACTTTTTTCTTTTCTTTAGAGTTGTGACCTCTATAAAGTCCTAAATCAATCTTTAAATCACCTTTGGGGCCTTTGATATCCATCATTGGCACGCCAACTTTTGAAACAGGACCTTTAAATTTTGCCTTCGTAATGTCAGTATCTTTTGGAGGTGAGTCATGTGAGAGTATGCCAGAAACATTTCGGGTGTCTCCTTCAAGTTCCATCTCGGGACACTGAAGATTTATTTTGGGCAGAGAGACATCAATATCTGGCATTTTCATGTGAGGCATTTTAAACTTTCCACCAGCATCTCCTTCCAATTCAACATCTGGTCCTTCAGTCTTTCCTTTTCCTTTTGGAAGTGATACATCAATAGAAGGCATGCTTACTTCAGGCAAATAAAATTTGCCACCCTCTCCCTTTAGCTCCAAGTCAGGGCCTTTGATTTTTCCTTTAGGCAGAGAGATGTCAACATGTGACATTTTCACGTCAGGCATTTTAAACTTTCCACCAGCATCTGCTTCAAATTCAACATCTGGTCCTTCAGTCTTTCCTTTTCCTTTTGGAAGTGAAATGTCAACAGAGGGCATGCTAAGATGTGGCATCTTGAATTTTCCACCTTTTCCCTTGAGCTCCAAGTCTGGACCTTCAACTTTTGCTTTGGGTAGCGAGACATCAATATCTGGCATTTTCACGTAAGGCATTTTAAACTTTCCACCAGCATCTCCTTCCAATTCAAAATCTGGTCCTTCAATCTTTCCTTTTCCTTTTGGAAGAGATACATCAATAGAAGGCATGCTAAGATGTGGCATCTTGAATTTTCCACCTTTTCCCTTGAGCTCCAAGTCTGGACCTTCAACTTTTGCTTTGGGTAGGGAGACATCAATATCTGGCATTTTCACGTAAGGCCTTTGAAACTTTCCACTGGCATCTCCTTCAAAATCAACATCTGGTCCTTCAATCTTCCCTTTTCCTTTTGGAAGTGAAATGTCAACAGAGGGCATGCTAAGATGTGGCATCTTGAATTTTCCACCTTTTCCCTTGAGCTCCAAGTCTGGACCTTCAACTTTTGCTTTGGGTAGGGAGACATCAATATCTGGCATTTTCACGTAAGGCCTTTGAAACTTTCCACTGGCATCTCCTTCAAATTCAACATCTGCTCCTTCAATCTTCCCTTTTCCTTTTGGAAGTGAAATGTCAACAGAGGGCATGCTAAGATGTGGCATCTTGAATTTTCCACCTTTTCCCTTGAGCTCCAAGTCTGGACCTTCAACTTTTGCTTTGGGTAGGGAGACATCAATATCTGGCATTTTCACGTAAGGCCTTTGAAACTTTCCACTGGCATCTCCTTCAAATTCAACATCTGCTCCTTCAATCTTCCCTTTTCCTTTTGGAAGTGAAACGTCAACAGATGGCATGCTAAGATGTGGCATCTTGAATTTTCCACCTTTTCCCTTGAGCTCCAAGTCTGGACCTTCAACTTTTGCTTTGGGTAGTGAGACATCAATATCTGGCATTTTCACGTAAGGCATTTGAAACTTTCCACTGGCATCTCCTTCAAATTCAACATCTGGTCCTTCAGTCTTTCCTTTTCCTTTTGGAAGTGATACATCAATAGAAGGCATGCTTACTTCAGGCAAATAAAATTTGCCCCCCTCTCCCTTTAGCTCCAAGTCAGGGCCTTTGATTTTTCCTTTAGGCAGAGAGATGTCAACATGTGACATTTTCACGTCAGGCATTTTAAACTTTCCTCCAGCATCTCCTTCCAATTCAACATCTGGTCCTTCAGTCTTTCCTTTTCCTTTTGGAAGTGATACATCAATAGAAGGCATGCTTACTTCAGGCAAATAAATTTGCCACCCTCTCCCTTTAGCTCCAAGTCAGGGCCTTTGATTTTTCCTTTAGGCAGAGAGATGTCAACATGTGACATTTTCACGTCAGGCATTTTAAACTTTCCACCAGCATCTCCTTCCAATTCAACATCTGGTCCTTCAGTCTTTCCTTTTCCTTTTGGAAGTGAAATGTCAACAGATGGCATGCTAAGATGTGGCATCTTGAATTTTCCACCTTTTCCCTTGAGCTCCAAGTCTGGACCTTCAACTTTTGCTTTGGGTAGGGAGACATCAATATCTGGCATTTTCACGTAAGGCCTTTGAAACTTTCCACTGGCATCTCCTTCAAAATCAACATCTGGTCCTTCAATCTTCCCTTTTCCTTTTGGAAGTGAAATGTCAACAGAGGGCATGCTAAGATGTGGCATCTTGAATTTTCCACCTTTTCCCTTGAGCTCCAAGTCTGGACCTTCAACTTTTGCTTTGGGTAGGGAGACATCAATATCTGGCATTTTCACGTAAGGCATTTGAAACTTTCCACTGGCATCTCCTTCAAATTCAACATCTGCTCCTTCAATCTTCCCTTTTCCTTTTGGAAGTGAAATGTCAACAGAGGGCATGCTAAGATGTGGCATCTTGAATTTTCCACCTTTTCCCTTGAGCTCCAAGTCTGGACCTTCAACTTTTGCTTTGGGTAACGAGACATCAATATCTGGCATTTTCACGTCAGGCATTTTAAACTTTCCACCAGCATCTCCTTCCAATTCAAAATCTGGTCCTTCAATCTTTCCTTTTCCTTTTGGAAGAGATACATCAATAGAAGGCATGCTAAGATGTGGCATCTTGAATTTTCCACCTTTTCCCTTGAGCTCCAAGTCTGGACCTTCAACTTTTGCTTTGGGTAGTGAGACATCAATATCTGGCATTTTCACGTAAGGCATTTGAAACTTTCCACTGGCATCTCCTTCAAATTCAACATCTGGTCCTTCAATCTTTCCTTTTCCTTTTGGAAGTGATACATCAATAGAAGGCATGCTTACTTCGGGCAATTTAAATTTGCCACCCTCTCC